CGCTGTCTGTGATGGAGATGGACACGCCCTCATTGGCCTGGGAGAGACAGGTACTGAGCACCCCAACACCTCGCACGGAAGGGGTCCCCGCTGCTCCACTGTCCTGCACTGCACATCTCAGGTCCCTTCCCTCCAGTGGTCCAGGATTTGGACTCCACTTGGCGCCTGGCTCCCCCCGCCTTGGCCCCGGCGGCCAGCAGAGGGCGTGCTGTGCCCACATCCAGCCACCTGTGGCCTGGCCTGCCATGCCCAGCCGGGCAGCTTTTACTCCCGTGACCTTTACTCAAAGGACACTTTCTCAGAGGCCCCCACCACCTTGGCAAAAATGACACCCCTTTATCTTGCCTCACAGCCCCCCCAGCGCCCTACACCAGCCCAGATATTCAGGTTGCAGACACCCAGGTGCTGAAGCACTGTGGGTGGCTGGTCACACTAGGAGTCCTTGGCACACAGGGGCACAAACGAATGCCCGCACCGGCACCCGTCAGCCACTCTGGTCTTCATGGCTAAAGAGCACTGGGCTCAAGCCACCCCCGGGACAGGACAGCTAGACACCGATGTCAAGGACCAAGGGAGGCAGAGGAAGAGGAGGTCCCAGGACATGGGACCCGGCGGTGGGGGGGAGGGGTGGCTCACCTGCTCCTGCAGGTGGTCCCACATGCCAGTCACTGGCTTCCGGTACAGCCCCGCGTGCGTGGCCACTAGCACCTGTGGGTATGGCAGAGACCTAGGTCTCCTTGGCTTCTCCTCTAGCGTATACTAGGTCTGTCCCAGCCCCTGCCTGGGCCTCATGCTGGGGCTGGCTCTTTCTGGATCCCCATCCTCCTGGCAAGGCCCCCATCCCTTCCCACTTCTCCCCAGCCTCCCTCTAGCCATACCTGGAAGGGAACCCCCAGCTTCTCTAGCACAGCCTCCACCTTGGCCTTGAACTCCTCTGCTGGCAGCTTCCCTCGCCCAATGCCCATCTGGTTGGTAAAGATCACCAGCTGAGGAGCAGATGATGTCACCAGGAGGCCCCTCACCAAGACCCCCCACAGACCTGCAGCATGGGCATGCGCACACACCTTGTAGCCCTGGGCATGCAGCTCCTGGAGCTTCCTAGGAACCTCCGGGTACAAGATCCTAAGACAGATGAGAAGCAGTGCCTGAGCAAGGGCCAGGGGCTCCAAGCGGTCACTTGGTCTCTTCTCTGGCCCCTTCTCACCTCCAGTCACTGGGGCTGGTAGGAAAGACCTTTCCAGAACGGGTGCTGATGAGTGTCCCGTCCAGATCAAAGGCAGCCACCTGGGAACAGCAAGAACGGAGGACAGTTGCACCCTCGAGGCCTCACCAGGCTGCCACCTGCTCTCTGCAGCCCCACCTGTCTCAGAGGCAAGGACACAGAGGCATGGGGTCCGCACGTCTCATGCAAGGCCCAGGCACAGGAGGAATGGAGCCGTACCGGCTCTAAGTACAGAGCCCGGCCCATACCGCCTCCTGTCTCTCCTGTGCCCCATACCCACTCGTGCAGATGGACACTCATAAATCACCCACCATCGTGCCCAGACTGATCCACCAGAGCGGGTTAATTACCACAAAAGTCAAAACCAGACCAAGGCTTCTATGGGGCACTCACAACCCATCAGGTCACCTGTGTTTCAAGGATCATGTAGGGTTGAGAATAAGACCATGACTGCACAGGGCCAGGCTGGTCATCACTGAAGTCCAGTCCCTAGGGGCAGCAGGGGCCTACATACAGCAGGCCTTTACAGCAGCCGCCCTTGGATCAGCTGGGTCCCCCCAATATAGTTCCCACTGCTCTCCAGTCTGGTGTGACCCTCACCTTGTCCTGAGACTTCACTCCAGGTGCTGTGAACACCAGCAGCTTCTCCAAGTTCTGCCAACCTGGGGATGTTGTCCGCATCCGCTTTTTCTGCTGTTTGGCCTCCTCCTCCCGCTTCTCCCTGGGAGGTGTCACCGGTGGGGTGCCAGGTGGAGAATCTGGTTGGAGGCCTGGTGCGTGGGTATCATCCCAGCACAAGGTCAGCGGGTGGAGGCCATTGACCAAATACAGTGTGTCCCCCACACCAAGAGACTCCTCCAACCCTGGCCTCAATTCCTGGGTCCCAGCAGTTGTAGGGTTAACACCCAGCTGCAGAGAAAAAGGGGACAGCTGGGAATAACTCTACTCCAAGAGCCAAGAGGCTCAACTTTCTCAATGACCAATCAAAGCTTCAGGCTCCACCTCCTTGCTGCGGATGACCAATCAAAGATTTGGAGAGGTCATAAGCTTCTAATTTTGCCCAATTAAAAAGTTCCCTACCATGGTGAGTCTTCCCAGAACTCTGCCCCCAGCCCTTGCTGAAGCCCAGGTACCTGTTTCACTGCCACCGTCCGGGTCTTCAGGTCTGCAACCAGCTCCACTGAGGATTGAGGGGGCTGGGTTAGGTTTTGCTCCCAGGCCTCAGCAGAAGCAGGGGGGCTACAGTACCCATCCCATCACTGACCCCCAAGAAATGGGAGAATGGGCTTCTAAGCGGGAAAGTTCCTAGGACCATGTACAATTGCGATTTGCTCAGGATTGCACCAAGTGAAGACACAGATCACCAAGGACATTTACGTTTCCCCATGGGGTCGGTAGGGCAGTGGCCCATTTCAGGCTTCCAGATGCCCTCTGCACCTCCAGTGCCCAGCATAATTCTCCCGGGATTCACCCCGCCCTGCCCTCCCCCGGCTGGTTCCAGGTCGGGCACACCCTTTAGCTTCCTAAGCTTCCCAGGAACACCCGTCAACTTCGGGAAAGACTGCTAGCAGACCCTTTCTCTGGGATGACGGTGGTGCCCTCCTTCCAAGAGCACCGGGGTCCCGCTCCGGCGCAGGCCCACCCCCTCCCGCCGAGGCCCCACCCACCTTGGTTTCGGGAGCACTTCCGGTCTGTAACCTGGGTCAGGGGTCCGCGCCCGAGGACCAGGGCTTGCCCGTCCGTGGGCAGGAAGATGGGGGGCGCCCCCCCTGGGGGGCTCTCCAGCCACAGGCGGCCTCGGGCCTCGCCCTCGGCCATCGTGGGCTCCGGCCTGGGATGAGGAGGGACCCGCGGCAGGTGACGGGTGGCCGGGCTTGAACCCGGGAGTCCCGCCCCCTTCAGGTCACTGGGAACTTCCCCTTTCGGCTGCCACCCATCGGCCTTGGGTCCCGACCGTCTCCCAGGCGACGACGCCTTCCCAGCCCTGGGGGGTCGGGAGGAGGGCGCCCCTCCGCCCCTGCGCGCTCTCACGCTTCCCGGTACTCACCGGCGAAGTCTGTAGACGCCCTAGAGGCTCCGCCTGCGGCACGCCGCTCTACTACTCCGAAGGCGGAAGTGACGCAGAGGCGGTGCTTTGGTCCCTCCCACCGCGAGCCGGGCCCCTCTGGGCCTTAGGACCGCCTCTAGGCGGTGCCGAGGCCCCCGCGGCTCCGCCCTCTCGGCATCCCGACTGCAGTGTGGGATCCTGGCCAGTAGGGGGCGCGTGGAGCCTCCATCTGCAGGTTTTCCGCGGCCCCTTGGCTGGAGTAGATAAAAGCTTGCCGTGCCTTTCGGTGATCCTTTTGCCAATGGAAGAAACCCGGGCCCCCACCCCACGATCGCGCCCGCCACAGCAAGATGTTCTCCTTTGCCCGCATGCCGCAGTTCCCTCTTACAGTGAAGATGGTCAGTTCCTGCCAGAGCTTAAGAACGAACGTGTGGACGCAGGCAACTAGCCCTGTGTAAAATCACCGTTGTTTGCACTCCTCAGGAGGGGTTCTGATGTGAGACGCTCTTCAGTCTCCTAGCCCCAAGTTATTTGTGTCAGTCTTAGGGGCTGAACTCGGGACCCGGATACTGTCCTTGAGGTTCTTTTGCTCAAGGCTAGCACTCTACCACTTGAGCCACAGGGTCATTTTCAGCTTTTTCTGTGTATGTGGTACTGAGGAATGGAACCCAGGGCTTCATGCATGCTAGGCAAGCACTGCAGCACTAAGCCACATTCCCAGACCCTATATTCATTCTTTAAAAAAAAGGACTTAATTTAGGGATATCCGGAACTTCAGTTTAGGAGACAAAAAATAGTCCAGATAGCTCTGGATTTGTTACGGAGGAAAAGAGGGAATTTATACTGAGCAAATAGTGTTTATAACAAGGCAGCAAAAGTCTGTGGCTAATAGGTACTGTGTAATGGACTATGTGACCAATAGAAGATAAATACATATTCTTTGTAAATAATATCCATCATCCCTTGATACTCATATTAAATTCTGCCAGCCTTAATTTCTAGCCAGTGTCTACCCTCCGGCAGCTTATTCGTGCCAGACAAGGCCTGGTAGGTGTTCTTGTGTGGGTATTCCTGGCCTCCAGTCCTCAAAGACTCCAGTTCTAACAGTCATACCCCTGATAATGTAGATCCCGCCCATGAACACAGGACTGTTCTCCCCACGAATCCCCGTTTTCTTATTCATAAAATGGGGAGGAAAGCTTTAAGTTGTTGTTGTTGGCCATGGGGCTTGAACTCTGGGCCTGTGTGCTGTCCCTCAGCTCTTCAGCTCAAGGCTAGTGCTCTACCACTCAAACCACAGCACCACTTCCAGTTTTCTAGTGGTTTATTGGAGATAAGAGTCTCACGGACCGGCTGGGAAGGTGGCTCAGTGGTAGAGTGCTTGCCTTGCATGCCTGAGTCCCTGGGTTCGATTCTTCAGAAACCACATAAGCAGAAAAAACCAGAAGTGGCACTGTGGCTCAAGTGGTAGAGGGCTAACCTTGAGCTGAAGAGCTGAGGGACAGTGCCTAGGCCCAGAGTTTAGGCCCATAACCAACAACAACAAAAAGTCTCACCGACCTTCCTACCCTGGCAGGCTTTGAACCGTGATCCTCAGATGTCAGCCTCCTGAGTTGCTAGGATCACAGGCATGAGCTACCGGTGCCCGGCTGGGGCAAATCTTTTCACCTCTGGCTTCGCAGTGTTCTCTGGCTTTAGAAAAGGTTCAGCACTCAACACCTGACACTCATGTATCAGAGGTAAAACTTTAATCTCAGAGCGCCCCTCCCAACTCCCGAATCCCACCCCACTCTCTTCCCCACGCCAGGGCAGGAGAGTGAAGCCCCTGCCCCCCACCTAGGGTGGACGAGGGCCCTTTAAGGCACCTGTGGGGGTGGGGGGAAAGGGGCGAGAGCTGGTACCGTCCTGAACGCAAGGACGAGATTGTTTGGCAGGCTGTTGTGGGACGGGCCGGTGACACGCAGGGACAGGACTGGGCCATCCCTGAGAAGTAGGCTTACAATTGTGAGGACGGGCAAAAAAAAGACCCGGCCCAGTAGTGTAAATTCGGGGCTCGGCAGGGGTGCTCGGCCACGCCTCCGCGCGGCTGATCGGAGCCGGTCGCATGGAAGAGCTGCCCAGTCACCAAGCCGTGGACGCCACTAGCCAATCCTGGGGCTCAGCCGGGCGCTTGCGGGCCCGGAGCAGCAGTCTCGCGACTCAAAACTCGGTGGCTCGAGAGAACGACGCGGCTCAGTACTAGCCACGCCCCCGGGGAACGAGCCAATCCCACCGAGGAAAGAGACTGTCGCCGGGCAGAAAAAGGGCCGACGGACCAATAGGAAACAGGACAGTCTGGGCCCCCTCACGCGGAGGCGGCAGGCCGGAAGGGAGTTGGGGATTGGCTGGGCCCCCCCAAGGCCGGGCCACGACCCCTCTCCGATTGGCCAGCCCCGGGGGCGGGGCGGGGGCGTAGTGTGAGGCGGGCGGCCGTGGCCCGGAGCCTCGCTCCTGGGGCCTCAGTACTTCCGCTTCAGCTTCTGGAAGTCGCTGGTGTTGAGGCGCGGCCGCGGCAGGTCCCCGAAGACCTGGGTGTCCTCGGCCTCCCGCAGCACCAGTGCGCGCATGCTGGCCGCGATGCGGTCCAGGTCGGGCGAGGAAGGCTGCGGAAACCGAGACCCCAGGGGTCAGAGCCTGCACTGGGGAGCCAGGCCCGCCCAGCGCGTCCCGCCTTGGTTCTGGTGCCTGGTCCACCTCGTCCTGCCCTGGGTAGGAGCTGCTGCACCCCACGCAGACACCACCTCCTCCAGGAAGCCTTCCTAGCCGCTCTGCCCTTTGCTGCCGTCCATTAGGCGTGCACTTGCCACCCACCAGTAGGGAACCTCCATGGCCTCAGTCTCGCCTGGAAATAAGGGGCTATCAAGGGCCCAGATGCAATGACGGTGCAGGGACATCACACGGCCACCAAAAGGGCTGGTCCTGAGCCAATAACAGCCATGGCCCAGGAGCCAGGAGGCTGAGCAGAAGAAAGGACAGCAGACATGGCAGGCCTCGGGGCCGAGTGTCCAGTAACTGGAGCTGCTTCCCACAAGGCACCAGGATACAGGGCCAAGGGGCTCTGGCGAGACCCCACGGCCAATCCAGGGGATGACAGTGCATCCCTGGAGGTAGTGGCTCTGACCCACCCCCCCTCCGCCCAGTCCCCCTTGCCCTCACCGGCCCATTCTCTTCATCCGAGGACCGTGCCTCTGCCCTCTTCTCCTTGAAGGCCCAGACAGGCACAGACACGGGCAAGGACTTGGCATACTGCTGGGTGGGCAGTGCGGAGGCAGGGGGCACCGAGTAGGTGGTAGAGCCGGCTGGAGTCTCTTCACTCAGGCTGCCATCTGCAAGACCATGGCCAACTTCAGCCCCGTCTCTGTACAGGTCCCAGGCCCCAGGGTGACGAGGGGAGCCGGGGACAGGGGACACTCACCATCTGTGCTCTCGGGGTCTGACTCACAGAAGGGAGGCAGGTCCTGGAGGGTGGCGTCCTCGTCCATCACGAAGAGCCCTGTGGATGGCGCAGGCCCGTGGTCAGGCTGCCCATACCACATGCCCCACCTACAGCCGGCCATTGCCTCTGCTATGCCTGGCACCAGCCTCGTCACTAATGGAGCCATTCCTGTCCACCTGTTGCCCCTTGGGAGCCAACACCAAACATGACCGGACACCTCTAACATGTCTGGGATGGTGTGACTCAAAACCCTCGCTGAGGGCTGGGAAGGTGGCTCAGTGGTAGAGTGCTTGCCTTGCATGCATGAGGCTCTGGGTTCGATTCCTCAGCACCACATAAGCAGAAAAAGCCGGAAGTGGTGCTGTGGCTCAAGTGGTAGAGCGCTAGCCTTGAGCTGAAGAGCTGAGGGACAAGGCCCAGACCCCAAGTTCTGGCCCACACCACGACACTTCCCCCCGCCCCACACACACAAAAAAAACAAAACCCTCGCTGACAGGATGGAAGATGACTCCTTCTTCACAGGTGGAGATGTGGGTCGTGTCACCTGCCCGAGGGCTCACAGCTTAAAAAGTGGCATCACCAGGAGGATTTGAACCCAGTACTCTGTCCTCTAGTCTGTGTGGTTTTCTCAGCAATGGAGAGGAGGCTGGCCATGAGTAATAACAAATGAAGAACTCCTACTTCTCAAAGCCCCAGTTACAGTCCAGTCTTGGAAGTATCCAACTTCCAAATTCATGCACGCACACACATGCAAACCACCTAGCATTCCCTGGCCGTAGCTCTTCTGGAAGGTGAGACCACTAGCTCTGAGCCCTGACTTTGTGAAAACGTTGAGGCTCCCAAGAACCTCAACAAAAACTAACTTTAGGACATAGGCATAAGGCTCAGAGAGGGTAATTGAGTGGTCCAAGGACACGCAGCTCATTCTAAGCCAGCCTCCCTGGAGGATCTTGGGATCACAACATGAATGTCCTTGGCAGTGTCCCTCCCAGGAGAGCCCCGTTTGGAGAGCTGACCAGGGCCAGGCCATGGAGCCCCCACCCAGAGCTCTCTCACCTCCATTATCACTGCCGCCCAGCCGGTCTCCAGAGGTCTCCGTCTCTGTGGGCTCATCCTCATCTTCCTCCTCCTCCTCTCGGGCCAGGGCTGGCCGGGGCGGGCTGGGAACAGGACTGGGTGGCTGTGGGGCAGGTGGGGGTCCAGGGGGCCGGGCTGCAGCGGCCGCCTTGTGGGCCTGTGCGATGTCATGGAGGCAGCGGCGGGCAGCCTCAGCCAGAGCTCCGCGGCCATGGGCAGTGTAGGTGCAGGGCCCCGGGCGGGGGGGTGGAGGGGGCGCGGCGGTCAGGAGCACCAGCTCTGTGCCAGTCCGGGCTCGGAAGCGCTCGGCAGCCCCCACCACAGCCTCCCACAGCTCCTCTGGCCGCCCCGACGCCATCCGCGCCCTGTGGGCCAGAGCAGGAGAGGGGAACTGGGATAGCCTGGTGCCCGTGGGGCACTGAGCACCCATGGCACCCCGCTTGTCCCGGCTGACTGTGGTGCCTTCTCCAGACTTCCTACTTCCCCGACCCTTGCCACTATCCTGTGTCACCATGTCCCTCACGGCTCATCCTCACCCTGGAGGTCGCAGCCTCTAGTGACAAGGTGGCTTATACCAGTAAAGTGGGAGGAAAAGTTGTCAGTAGCAACCTGCCCACCACTGGGTCCATGCTGGAAGATGACATTTGAGACCCGCTGGCTGAAGAGAGTAGCTGGCTACGATGGATCCCAGCTGTTTCTCTCTTACAGCTATAGCTAACCCTAAAAGACAATCCGGGCCCCGGCTCCCACCCTGCTGTCCTCTCCTGCTGAGGCAGACACTGGCACACCTGGCACTGCCAATCTCTCAGCCCTTTGGAGGGGATTCTTCCTCACCTCAGGCTGCCATCCACAGTGCCTGAGTGTCGTGTTCCAGCCCCTTCCCTGTCCACTCCCACGACTGGGCGGCCTGGTGTGGGAGCTGAGGAAGGGGAGAGCAGTGTGCACGCCCACACCAAAGGCCTCCTTTCTCCCTGCGAGAGTTCTCTGGATGCCTGCATTCCCTCCACTCCAGCTCCTGTCATTCAAGCTGGTGACAGCTGTACCACTGCCCGCCTCCTACATCAGTCTGTTAAGACCCCCCAGGCTAGGGTGCTATGCCCCTCCAGACAGGCCGGCCCCAGGCAGACAACAGTGAGAAAACCAAGAGGCAGAATGCTGGGTTTCCACCTGAACGCTGACTGAAAACTGCTGTGTGCCCTTGGCTCACTTACTGGTTGTCTCTGTGCCTCTTTCTTCTCCATTAACCAAAGCAGTTGAAATAGAGCTAGCAGACAGCAGGGACCTCCTTGAAGAGGTAGTGAACGCATTAGAGGAGTTCAAGCCCATCATAGGCCACAGAATTCATTGTGTAGGCCTTTATCAGCGTCAGTCACGGGAGCCAATGTGCTGGAAACTTAACTTGTGCAAGGACTGCATACCTCTCACCTCCTAGCTCACTCACCAAGATGGAAGTTGCTAACTGAACAAGAGGAAGGCTAATCCAGGCAAGGCCCACACATGAGCCCTTCCTCACCTCCCTATGAGGGCTGTGATCATCACCCCGCCAACTAAGCCTCAGGGCCAGAAAGAGGCAGAATTGCAGTCATCACTTGGACAGCCTGGACTCAGAGCTAGAACTTGAACTCGGAGCCTCTGGCTCTTGCTCAGCTTTTTGCTCACAGCTAGTGCTCTACCACTTGAGCCACACCTCCAACTCTGCTTTTTTGCTGGTTAATTGGTTTTTCTACCTGGGCTGACTTCAAAGCATGATCTCGGCCTCAGCCCCCTGAGTAGTAAGGATTACAGGTCTGAGCCACCAGACCACACCTGGCTCTTAAGCCTGTTCTTATCCCCACCTGCCACCCTGGCTGCCTTAGAAATTATAGTCTTGCCCTCCAGGAGGGAAAAGTGAGGCTCACACAAGCTGCCACACTGCCCAGTAGGCACACAGCTATAACGAGACACAAGGGTTTCCTCTATCTGATGGAGGAAAGAGATGCTCAGGGTAGGGATGGGATTCGCCCAAGGACACACCAGCCTGGGTTCTCACTTTCCAGTCCCTAGGAAACAAGAGGCTTCCATTAAAATGACAGCAGGGAAAGGACAACAGGATCCAGTCATTTCTGCACTAGATCTTGGGATGAAACCAAGTGAATGGCTCGTGACCGTACCCTCACTTCAGAGAGCAGCCAGAGTTTTGCAAAAAGGAAGAGGGCAACTTACACGGACCTCTCTGGAAAGGCCGGGGGACTCGGGGCCGTGACCCGACAGGAAAGTAGCCAAGTAGTGGCAGTCTCCTGGCCCTCCCTCCAGGAGGAAATCCTGTCGCCTCCTAGGAGCGGAGGCCTGGAGACAGATGGGGCAGGAGACGAATATCCACCTTCCCAGGAGGGGGGCGTAGGTGACAGGCCTCTCAAGAGGTGTAGACAGGGGAGTGTCCGCCAGTGACCGAGAGTCACTAGTGGGACACCCCACAGATCGGGAGTGAAGGCATGCTGGGGCGAGCTGAACGTCGGGCTCAGCACCCCACCACGCCCGGGAGCCAGCCAAGAACCACGGGTCTAGGAAGAAAACAGGAAATCCCGCCCAGGTGAGGGGCCAGGACCGGAAGTCCCGCCTTTGGCCGGGTGAGGGGCTCCCTGAACCCCCCGAACGACCCCGCGAAGCCGTGCGTACACTGCCCACGCCCAAGGCTAAGCACCCCAAATGGATCTGGGCCCTGAAAGACGAGGCTGACTACGATTTGCCTCGAGAAAGGCACGACAGGCTCCTGTGGGGACACTCTGTTCCAGCACTCAACCGAGGGTCGCTGGACGAGCTGACCCCTAACCAATGCCAGCTGGGCCCCTCCCGTTAGCCGCACTCGCTCCCAGCGCCCCTCCACCTCAGGACGGCCAAAGCCTCCCCATACCCGGGTTCACAACGCCGCCTCCACTCACGTGCCCGGAGCCAGCATGGACGGCCAGGCGCCGTCACCGCCCTCAAAAGGCATGGCGGCGCCCCCGCGTCACTTCCGCCTGCATGTCCCGCCTCCTCTGCGCACACCCCACCTCCCTTTCCGGGGCCACCCAAGACAAATATGGCGGACACGGAGGCTTCATCCACATTAGTGGACAATGACAAAAGGCAGAGTGCCCATAAGGAAGATGGTGTGAGGTATCGCCTGAGGCAGGAACTAGCCTAGACCAGTTTGATTGCCCCCAAGAAAGATGGCTGTCCGCACATGTTCACACGGGGCCGTAATAAACCGAGGAAGCCACCGTACGTCCCTGCACTGGTAATCGAGTTTTCAGACGCGAAGGGCACGGTGTCCGTCCGCAACATGACAGTCAGTCGGGTTTCACCTGTCCATCATGTATATGGGCTCTCCCTCCCTCCAACCTACCCCCCTTCCGCATCAAGCTGTCAAAAGATCCAATATGGCAGTATTTCTTGCTTCGGTTTGCCCAGCTTCAAAATGGCGGCTCAACCCACTTTCCGCGGTGACTCAGGAGCTCATCGGGGACGGCTTCGTCTGCGGGGACGCTGGCGCCTTCGTCCCGTTATCCTGAGTCCCTCAGCGCCTCTGCGGCTGAACAGCTCCTCTCACCTTTTCCCTTATCTGTTCCCCTTTTCCGACACCTCGCTGCGGTGCCCCGCACTAACATGGCCGCGGCCGACTGGCTACGGCTGTGCCCTCGAGCAAAATGGCACGTGCTTTAGCGTCGGTGCCAGTACACAAGATGGAGGAGGTGGGCGTTCCCGGGAGCGCGGGAGGCCAGAGGTGTGGCGCTCTGGGATCCACCCACTTGTTTACTTCGTGGCGCGAGTGGAAGCACTACGCATGCGTATTACCGCTGGCGGCCTCCACGCTCGCCGTCTGTCATGTGACTAGATTTTTTTGTATTACTAGTCTCCCCCATTTTGACAGATGGTTTCGTCCACTCCAGCTCCAGTAAGGTAGGAGTGGTACCATTTGGCTAGCTTTGAGGGGAGTGCTCTCTCCGGATGTGACAACACGTTGACCCGGAAAAGGAGCTGGCCGGGACAGTGGGGCCTCAGCGGCGGCTATGGAAGAATCCGGCTACAGGGTAAGTACCCTGACCCCATTCCCTGGCTTGCGCCTGTACGAAACGCCCCCGTCGGTTAATGTGTTTCTCTCTCGTGGCGTGTGGGGACTCTGATGACCAGGCAGAGCCTCGGCAAACGCCGTCCCGCCATAAACGCGCTGTCACCCTTCCCTCCACGGTCCAGAGGGAGACGGCATTTCTTAGCCCCGCCCCCTTGGAATGCGCGCCGACACCGAACGCTGGACGGGTCTCTGAGCCTGACCACGCCTCCGCTCTGCGTCTCTGGCCCCGCCTTCCCTGCATTAGTTCCTCCCCCAGGCCGTTCCTATTGGTTGCCACCTGCCGGGCGCTTACTAAGTCCCGCCCGCAGGTGGTGTTTGAGAAGGGCGGTGTGTACCTACACACAAGCGCCAAGAAGCACCAGGACTCGGGTTCCCTCATCGCGGGCGTCATCCGTGTTGTGGAGAAGGTGAGGCCGAAGGGATCCGGGCTGGGCGGGCCCCAGGCGGGAGGGAAGTCAACCTGAGGAGATCTTCGGAAGACCAGGGTGGGAACTAGAATGAGGTCGGGCTGTGGACAGCGAAAGGCTTTGGGGTGGGAGACCCACCAAGTCCCCCTCACTTCCCTCAGGACAATGACGTCCTCCTGCACTGGGCCCCGGTGGAGGAGGCCGGAGATTCCACGCAGATCCTCTTCTCCAAGAAGGTAGGCTTCCCGCTTTCCCCTTTTTGTTCATCTTTTCTGGACGCAGCGGTGGAAGGCATTGAATGAAACGTTGCTGTGGGAGCCTGGCTGTAAACTAGGTCCTCTCTGCCCCTGTTTCCTTTTGTGTGGGAAAGGAGAGATGCCCCTCCCTCTTTATTCCTGAGGGAGCCCTGGTGCAAGAGAAGGGGCTTCCAGTTGCTTGTAGTGTGACATATTCCTGGTGCAGTACACCATCAAGTTCAAAGGCCAGGCCCACTTGAGGCTCTCATCTTTTGCTTTATCTGCCACAATCCATCCTTCCTCCTTATCCTTCATGGGCGTCAACAGCACTTCCTCAGCTCTCAGGACAGCTCTCATCTGCAGATTTCCTGGAGTCTGTCCAGCAGTCCCTTCAACCTAGTATTATTTCTCTTACTGGTACTATAGGAATGTAAGTGCAGGGCTGGGAAGGTGGCTCAGTGGTAGAGCACTTGCCTTGCATGCATGAGGCCCTGGGTTCGATTCCTCAGCACCACATAAGCAAAAAGAAAAAAGCCGGAAGTGGCGCTGTGGCTCAAGTGGTAGAGCGCTAGCCTTGAGCTGAAGAGCTGAGGGACAGCGCCCAGGCCCTGAGTTCAGGCCCTATGACCGGACCCCCCCCCCCCCAAAAAAAGGAATGTAAGTGCACTATGGCCCAGTGTATTTGCAGGGTTGTTTAGCCTCTTTTAGTTGGGGGTTTGAACTCAGGGCCTTCTCCTTGTGTCACACCAACCATCTTTTATGGCATTTTCAGGATTTCCGTTGTATAGCATGTGTTTATACTTGGTTTCTTCTTGAAGTTGAATAATATAGTGCTTTCACTTTTTTTCTGCCAAAACTAAGGGCATAAACTCAGGGTCTGATGCTCTCCCTTAGCTTGTTTTGCCTAAAGCTAGTGCTCTATCACTTCAGCTACACCTCCTCTTCTGGCTTTTTGATGGTTAATTGGAGTCTCACAGACTATTCTGCATGGAGCTGGCTTTAGACCGCAGTGTTCAGATCTCAGTCTCTAGAATAGCTAGGATTACAGGTGTGAGCCACCACCATCACCCAGCTAGTATTTTCATCTTCTCTGTTTTCTTCTGAGATCAAGACCCAAACTCAGTACCTGATGCTTTTGCTCATTGGCTATTGCTCTGCCACCTGAGCCACACCTCTAACCCCTAACTTTCACATTTTAAGGTGCCATGCGCAATTCTTCACTTACTAGTGTGGTGGGTTCTTGGGGTTTTATGCCTTTTACAAAACTGTTAGGGGTCTGGGAAGGTGGCTCAGTGGTAGAGCGCTCGCCTTGCATGCTTGAGGCCCTGGGTTCGATTCCTCAGCACCACATAAGCAGAAAGAAAAAAGCCAGAAGTGGTGCTGTGGCTCAAGTGGTAGAGCGCTAGCCTTGAGCTTGAGCTAAAGAGCTGAGGGACAGCGCCCAGGACCAGAGTTCAGGCCCCACGACCGGACCAAAAAATAAAAAACTGTTAGTAAGAATCCTGCTGCTTGTGCTCATTTGCGTGTGGCTTTGTGTTGTTTTTCTCTCCTCTCCCAAGCTGAGGCCCTAATCCCTAGAACTTATATGTGTTAGGCCAGCACTCTACTCTTGCCTTTTTTTTCTTTTTTTTTTTTTTTTTGGGTCCGGTTGTGGGGCCTGAACTCTGGGCCTGGGCGCTGTCCCTCAGCTCTTCAGCTCAAGGCTAGCGCTCTACCACTTGAGCCACAGCGCCACTTCCGGCTTTTTTCTTATGTGGTGCTGGGGAATCGAACCCAGGGCCTCAGGCATGCAAGGCAAGCGCTCTACCACTGAGCCACCATCCCAGCCCTACTCCTGCCTTCTAACAGGACCTTGAGGCTCTAATCTAGAACCTGAGTCCACAGCCCCTCTTTCTCCTTTCTTCCCCCAAGGACTCCAGTGGGGCTGAGTCTGGTACCTCTGAGGAGGAACCCACCTTTGACCCAGGCTATGAACCTGATTGGGCCGTCATCAGCACTGTGAGGCCACGGCCCCACCATTCAGAGCCCAAGAAAGGTATGCTGATCAGTGCTTGACACCACCACCTGGGCAAGTGAGACCTATCTTGCCCTTAGTACTCATGGTTCCAGTATGGGCTTTCTGCCCACACTAAACATGGCTACCTGGGCTTTCTAGCCCCTGCGAAACAGAGTGAATTGGCCCTGGGCACCTTCATAATTCCCATCCCTGAAGGTTGCCAGGCCACTGAGGACACGGGGATGCAGCTAGCTACACCTTCTTGGACCTGAAGAGGACTTGGGCCATCAAAATGGAGTACTGAGTTATTATTAGGAGAGAGGCAAGGCCGTTTGGGGAGAGGCATTTTCAGAGCTGGGCTCTGAGAGACACTGGGAAGTTTTCTCTCCCATTTCAAAGAGATGCCTGCGTCAGGCCAGAAACAAGAAACTCTGGGCATATTGGAGAATATTTGGAGTATATTTGGCCCCTCTGTTGTGGCTCAGGTATGGGTGAAGAGCAGGTTAGAGGTGAGACTGACTGACATCAGCTTGCTCTGGCCCCTGCCTCCTGCACTGCCCCCAGCAGCATGCCATTCCCCCTGTCTCCAGGTGCAGAGCCTAACTCTCCCCGGGGACCCTGGGCCTTCTCGGTCAGTCTGGGGGAGCTGAAGTCCATCCGCCGCTCCAAGCCAGGCCTCAGCTGGGCCTACTTGGTCCTGGTGACCCAGGCCGGAGGCTCCCTGCCTGCGCTACACTTCCACCATGGGGGCACCCGCGCCCTGCTCCGTGTCCTCAGCCGCTACCTGCTGTTGGCCAGGTGAGCTACCTGAGGGCCAGGCTCTCCGTTCCCCCCCCCTCCCCCCCGAAGCTGCAGCCCAACCCTCAGGGCTGTGTTGTGAAACACCAGAGTTCAAATTGACGTCAAAGAAGAAAAAGAAATTGACTCATGTAACTGAGAAAATGGTGTTCATTTCAGGCAGGACCAAGAGTTGCCCTTTCTCTCTGAGGTCCTGTTATCTTCTGGCCATGAGCAGCCCTGGCTTAACAGTCCCAGTGGAGAGAAAACTCTCTTGCTCTAGTGGAACAAAACCCCAGGGCTGCTTCTTAATTGGCTCTTCCCTGAGTCAGTTATCCTGGCCAGGGAAATGGAAGGCCCTCATTGGACAGCCTTGGGTCATGTGGGACCCACTGAGTTCCAGCTCTGATCTGTGCCCTCTCCCTGCAATTACATACACAGAAATGAGGCATTCTAAGGGTAGCTAGGACACTGGAACAAGTGTAGGTAGGGACAACCCGGGACACGAGGCCTTCCACCGTGTGTCACCTGTGCATCCCTCCCGCCTCCCAGCTCCCCACAGGACTCCCGCCTCTACCTTGTCTTCCCCCATGACTCCTCCGCCCTCTCCAACTCCTTCCACCACCTGCAGCTCTTCGACCAGGACAGTTCAAATGTGGTGTCTGTGAGTGTCCTTGCCTCTGCGCCTGGCAGGGTGCGGGCGGGGCGCAGCCTGCGTGGGAGCCGTGACAACTTTCCTCCTTGTCTCCAGCGCTTCCTGCAGGACCCTTACTCCACGACCTTCAGCAGCTTCTCCCGGGTGACCAACTTCTTCCGGGGAGCCCTCCAGCCGCACCCCGAGGGGGCCTCCTCTCCTGACCTCCCACCTCCCGATGATGAAGCCGAGCCTGGATTCGAGGTCATCTCCTGTGTGAGTATCTGCGGGAACTTTCTGGGCACACAGGCTGTCAGGTGACTTCCTTCCTCTGGGCCACAGTTTCCTCCTGGGGTCGTATAAGGAGTGACTTGCTAGCACCTGTGGGTGAGCCGGGCACAGAGGATTCCTGAGGCTTCCTCCTCTGACTTGAGGCTTTGTCCAGATGAGGGTTTAGTGCTACCTGGAGATGGGGACGGGGCAGGGACTCAGCCATCTTGGGCTCTGCAGGTGGAGCTAGGGCCCCGGCCCACTGTGGAGCGGGCTTCTCCGGTCACAGAGGAGGAGTGGGCGCGCCACATGAACCCCGACGGCTGCCTGCAGCACGTGCCTGAGTTGAAGAACCGGATCTTCTCCGGGGTGAGCATGGGGAGATGGGGAGACAGGCCTGGGTTGGTGGGTGGCTTAGGAGGAGGCCCCCATGAACTTTCCCACTCCACCCCCAGGGACTGAGCCCCAGCCTGCGGCGAGAGGCTTGGAAGTTCCTCTTGGGCTACTTCAGCTGGGAGGACTCAGCTGAGGAACACAAGGCCCATGTGCGCAGGAAAACGTGAGTGGGAAAACGGAGCCTCAGGCTTTCATGTCTCCCGTGAGGCTTGGCCTTGAGCTGCATAGGGACACCATGGACGGCCAATAGGACTGTTCCACAGACCCACGTGACAAGCCTGCCATGTGGTTGCCAGGCACAATGGTGAACCAGCCAGACCCCTCCTGCTCGTATGGACCAGCTCCTGTCTCCCATGCTGTTTTCATCCCTGTGCCACACTGCTTTAGTAATCACAGCTTTGCAGTGTGTTTGGTCTCCCCCGTGGGTCCCCTCTCACCTCATTCCTCATGTGTGTCATGTACTGGCTGTGACTAGCCCCTTTGCTGGGCTTCATGGGTACAGCTGTACCCTACTCTTCCTGTCCCTGGCATACTTTCTAACAGAGGTGCCAGCCTCCCCCAAGTCTTGAGGTGGACTGTCAGAAGGGGGAGGGGAGTGGCAAATGTGCCTTGGATCTTGGTAGGCGAAGCAGGGCTGTGGAGTGACTGGGACTTGGGGGGTGGGTTGGGGTGGGGGAGAGCCAGGATCTGTCATCTCCCACCCGCCTCTCAGAGATGAGTATTTCCGAATGAAGTTACAGTGGAAGTCGGTGAGTCCCGAGCAGGAACGGAGAAACTCGCTGCTGCACGGCTACCGCAGCCTTATTGGTGGGTACCACGTGGAGGAGGGAGAGCTGTGGTCTGTGGTACAGAGGGCAAGGGCAAAGGGCTCATCTCAGAGGGAGATGAAGATGGCACTGGTGGCAGTGTTGGCACATGGGGCAGGGGCTTGGGGTCCTGTCAGCTCCCACCTGCAGATCCTGCTCTTGCCTGTCTGGGCCTTGGTCTCCCCGTATGTGGTCAGCAGGGACAGCTGCAGGGTGGACGAGAGCCCATGGGAAGCATGGAGGCCAATGGGGATGAGTCTGCTCACCTGTCTTGCGTTTGCTTCTGCATCGGGCCCCTACAGAGAGAGACGTGAGCCGCACGGACAGGACCAACAAATTCTACGAGGGCCCCGAGAACCCAGGGCTGGGTCTGCTCAACGACATCCTCCTCACCTACTGCATGTACCACTTCGACCTCGGTGAGGTGCCCTGGGGGTGGGGGCAAGGCCCCCGGGGCGTCGCAGGCCTGGGGCCATCCCCTGACCCTGTGTTCTGTCAGGTTATGTCCAGGGCATGAGTGACCTCCTGTCCCCCATCCTCTACGTCCTTCAGAATGAGGTTGATGCCTTCTGGTGTTTCTGTGGCTTCATGGAGCTTGTGGTGAGGCTCGGGGCGGGGGGAGCTATGGGGGTCGGGCAGGCCCTCCAGAGTGAGGGCCCTCAGGTGAGGACAGTGACTCCCACCTGTGATCCTAGCTTCTCAGGAGCCTGAGATTGGGAGGATCAAGGTCTGACGTCAGCCTGGGCAAAAAGTTCTCAAAACTCCCTTCCATACCTATAGTTGGGCACAGAGGTATGCACCATTCATCCCAGCTAGTCCAGGAAGTGTAAGTAGTGCAGGCCTACCCAGTTATAAGCACTAAGACCCTACTGGAAAATAACAAAAGCAAAATGAGCTGGACATCAGTGCTCACACATGTAATCCTAGCTACTCAGGAGGCTGAGATTTCTGAAGATTGCAGTTCAGCCTGCCTTGACAGAAAAGTAAATATCTACAATTAGCCAGCAAAGAGTTGAAACTGAAGGCATGACTCAAGTGATAAGAGTGCCAGCTGTTAGCAGAAAAAGCAGAGGCCTGGAGGTCAAGTACCAGAAGCAGGATACACACACACACACACACACACACACACAAACACACACACACACACCCCTAACACACACACACACACACACACACACAGCTGGAGGCATGAGCAAAAGACCCTGAGTTCAGGGGCTGGGAAGGTGGTTCAGTGGTAGAGTGCTTGTCTTGCATACATGAGGCCCTGGGTTCAATTCCTCAGCACCACGTAAGTAGAAAAAGCCCAAAGTGACTCAGTGGCTCAAGCGCTCGCCTTGAGCTGAAGAGCTGAGGGGCAGCGTCCAGGCCCAGAGTTCAAGCCCCATGACCGACCAAAAAAAAAAAAAGACTGAGTTCAAACTTCAGTATTCACACACACACACACACACAAAACAGCTTCTGGCCCTTCATCCACCTTCCACTGCCACACTCCCCCCACAGCAGGGGAACTTTGAGGAGAGCCAGGAGACCATGAAGCGGCAGCTTGGCCAACTTCTGCTGCTCCTGAGGGTGCTGGACCAGCCACTCTGCGACTTCCTGGGTATGTCTCTAGGGTGGCAGGTAGGTGGGCATGGGACGTGGGACCAGGGACCTGGCCAAAATTTTCCTGTCAGTAGCCACAGAGAACACTAGGACTTGATAAGAACTAGAGAAACATCCCATAGTTCCCAGAACCTAAGGCTTCTGGGTACGCGTGCGTGGCCTGGCATTGTGAGCAGAGCCTCTGCAAGCATGGATTGTGGTACCTGATATAGCCGGGCATCCAGCTGACCTGCCACACTCACTGCATCCCAAGTTGTGTCAGCTGTGTTCTAGGTGTTGCTGGTACTTTTCAGAAATAAGGTTTCCCTTACCCCCAAAGTGGGGGGGGGGGTTCTTGCTCTTCTCAGCCAGCTCTGGCTCACCTGGGCTGGGTCTGAAACTGCTTCTCAGGCCCCATAACCTGGCCAGAAACTTCCTTTCTCATCTCTTCTTTGTGAAAAGTGCTGGAAACTCAGATAACAAACTAAGGAGAACTCATGAGTGGACGTTTCCTCAAGGACACGGCAGGACTGACTGGGGAGAGATGATGTATTCCTCCAGTTACTAACAAGGAAATAAAAGTTTTGGGCTGGGTGCTGGGCTAGCTCACGCCTGTAATCCTAACTCCTCAGCAAGCTGAGGCCTGAGGATCCCAGGATCCTCCTAAGACCTGAGGCCAACCTGAGTAAAGGGGACAGGCAGGGTGGGAAAGGTCCCCTGTGTGGCCACACACGTTAGCTGCCCTGGTGGGTCTGGGATAGTCTGGGTCACTTCTCAGTGCCTGGCCCTGCTGACCTGGAACAGGGCGGGTGGGAAATGAGGAAATCGGCCACTCACTGTCTCATGGCCCAACAAACCTCTGTCCTCTGCAGACTCACAGGACTCTGGCTCTCTCTGCTTCTGCTTCCGGTGGCTGCTCATCTGGTTCAAGAGAGAGTTCCCTTTCCCCGACATCCTGCGGCTGTGGGAGGTGTGTCAACCAGCTTGGATGGAAGGGTTGGAGGAAGGAGAAGGGGGAGGAGCTGGGCGGCTGGGAGGCAGACCTGAGTAGAACCCCAGACAGAAGTCTCTTCTGTCCCGTCCCCCCCCCCCCCCAGGTGCTGTGGACGGGACTTCCTGGCCCCAATCTGCACCTACTGGTGGCTTGTGCCATTCTGGACATGGAACGGGACACCCTCATGCTGTCTGGTTTTGGCTCCAATGAAATCCTTAAAGTGAGGGTTCCTCCAGCCTCCTGTGCCCCCTCTGGCCTGTGTGGAGCCAGGGTGCCTGTGGGGGGAGTGGGGCTGGGGGTCTGTGGAGGGGAGGGGGTCTGTGGAGGAGGCAGGGCTCCTGTGGGGGGAATGGGACTGGGGGAGGCTGTGGAGGAGGCAGGGCTCCTGTGGGGGAAGTGGGAATGGGAGGGGTCCTGGGGGGGGCAGGGCACATGGGGGAGTGAGAGGGAGGAAGAGGGAGGGCGCCTGTGGGGATAGTAGTAGGGGCGGACGCAGGTCTGACCTCACCCTCCCACAGCACATCAACGAGCTGACCATGAAGCTGAGCGTGGAGGATGTGCTGAAGCGGGCCGAAGCCCTGTACCGACAGCTCACCGCCTGCCCAGTGAGTCCCCCCTCCTTCCCCCTCCCCGCCCTCTTCTCCCCGAAAGCTTGATTTTCATCCTCCCTGCTCCTCCAGGAGCTGCCTCACAACGTGCAAGAGGTCCTGGGCCTGGTGCCACCCTCTGAGCCCCACAGCCCTTCGCCCCCCGCCTCCCCGCTGCCTCTATCACCTGGGCGAGCCCCGCAAGCCCCACCAGCTCCCGCAGAGGCAGCACCACAGCCGGACAGCAGCCTGGAGATCCTGCCGGAGGAGGAGGACAGCACCAACGCCTAGAGGCCCAGCCGCTGGGGCCTGGACCCCGCCTGGGCAGGATCTGCCAGGGCGGCGACTCCTGATTGGCTGCTCTCAGTAAACTGACATTTTTGCTCGGTTGGCCTCGTGTTGGGGGGCAAAGCAGCTGTGCATTGACTTCCGCACGGTGGGGGATGGCTTCCTGAGCCAGGTGTGACCACGTGACCGTGCCTGGCCAATGAGGCACGAGAGGTGGGCCCTGCGGCGAGGGCGTGGCCCCGGAGGTGTGAAGACCGGAGCTCAGGCTGGGTAGCGCCCTGGAGATTGTTGGTAGGGCAAGGCCCCCAGGACACTGGTGTGTGGAGGCCTGTTGAATCCCACGGCCACCACTCGAGCCTGGCCTCCCAGCTACTGCTTATGTGAAAAAATAAACTCGTGTTTAACCTGCTTGCAGTCAGGGCTGCTGTCTCTTACTTTTTAGACGGGCTCTTCGGCGCTTAAGCGGTGGCCGGGTGGAAAGCCATTAGGAGCTGAGTGGCCAGTGTCAGCCGGGCCCCCTCCGGGGGGTGGCTGCAGGGTCACGCGGCTGTTGGAAGTTCGGGGGGAGGGTGAGGCCTCCATTCCAGACAAACTGAGCCAGGGAGGGGATGGACCATGAGGCTTCTAGAGAAAATACTTTATTATGGGCGCTTCCTGTGGGTGGTGCGGGGAAGGGAGAGGAAGCGTGGGGCAACAGGACGGGCCTCCTCTTCCTTGGACCCTCCGCATGAGGAGTGGCCGGCTTCCGGGCGGTCTCCGCCCCGGGATGCCTCTCCCAGCTCCCCCAGATCCTCTGCGCGCACGAGTCCGTGGCCCTCCAGGTTGACCTCCGAGCGCCCGAGTCCACGGCCCTCCGGGTTGACCTCCGAGCGTCCGGGTCCATGGCCCTCCGGGTTGACGTCTGAGCGCCCGGGTCCATGGCCCTCCGAGTTGACGTCCGCGCGCACGGGTCCGTGGCCCTCTGGGTTGACTTCCGAGCGCACGGGTCCGTGACCTTCCTGGTTGGCCTCTGAGCGCACGGGTCCGTGGCCCTCCGCGTTGGCCCCCGGGTGCGCGCCCCCATGCCCCTCCTTCGTGGCCACCGTGTGCCCAAACCATTCCCGGTTGTTGATCTTCATGGCCGCGCGCAGCGCCGACTTGACGGACGTCTCCACCCAGCCGTGTGGGTAGGTCGTGTGCTCTCCAGCGAAGTAGACGCGGCCATAGGGCACCGCCCAGTCGTAGAGCGGCCCATTCGTTTCCGTTTGCCAAAGCAAGGGCGGCTGCATCACGAAGCCGCCCTGGCTGTGCGGGTCCTCTCCCCAGCGTTTGACGACGCCGGTGCCGTCCCAGAGCCGGTACACCACGGGGCCGTGCAGCGCCGCCACGTCCTTGAGCGCCAAGTGCAGCGCCTCGTTCAGGCTCAGGCCGGCGAACGGCGCCGCGGCATCCGACCACGTGTACGAGGCCAGCAGCAGCGCGCCCTCCCCGGGCGGCGGGTAGAAGATCAGGCGCGACGCGCGGTCCGTGTTCGAGTGGCCGCCTTCGATGTGCTCGCTGTGCCAGAAGGGCCGGCGGAAGCTCAGGAACACCTTGGTGGCCGGCACGTAGTGTAGCGCGCGCAGCGCCTCCTGTCGCTTGCGGGACAGCGGCGGCGAGAAGGTGATACGCTGCAGTGCCGGCCCGGTGGTCGTCATCAGCACCACGTCGGAGGTCAGCTCCTTCAGGCTCCGCGATTGGCGCGAAGTCGCGATGTGCACGCGCACCTCGTGCGACCCCTGAGATACTGCCATGACGGGCGCGTTCAGCAGCACCGGCCCCGACAGCGAGCTTAGCAGGGCGCGCGGCAGCAGGTCCCAGCCACCCACGATGCGGTTGTACCTGCGGGCGGGACCTCAGCGTGACCTGGGCCCCTTCCCGCCCCGGGGGCCCCGCCCACCCCGGTTGCTTGTCCTATTGGGATCCTCCTGTCCCCGCTGGTCCCTCCCACCCCGGTTGCGGGTCCCTATTGGGATCCGCCTGCTCCTTGCCCAGCCCCTCACCGGAGCCGGTCGCTAAGGCAGCTGTGGGCCCTCACGGCCTCTGCGAAGCTGAGATAGAAGAAGCCGTCCTTGGACATCACGTCTCCCAGAAGCTGCACGGCCGCCTGGCTCAGGTTGCCCTCCCCAAGCAGGTATTCCTGCGGGGTGGACGTGGCCCAAGTCAGGGCTGGGATGGGCCCTCCCCGGCCAGCTCCGCCCCCTCCCGTGGAGGTTCCTCCCCGGCCAGCTCCGCCCCCTCCCGTGGAGGTCCCTCCCCGGCCAGCTCCGCCCCCTCCCGTGGAGGTCCCTCCCCGGCCAGCTCCGCCCCCTCCCGTGGACGTTCCTCCCCGGCCAGCTCCGCCCCCTCCCGTGGACGTTCCTCCCCGGCCAGCTCCGCCCCCTCCCGTGGAGGTTCCTCCCCGGCCAGCTCCGCCCCCTCCCGTGGAGGTCCCTCCCCAGCCAGCTCCGCCCCCTCCCGTGGAGGTTCCTCCCCGGCCAGCTCCGCCCCCTCCCGTGGAGGTTCCTCCCCGGCCAGCTCCGCCCCCTCCCGTGGAGGTTCCTCCCCGGCCAGCTCCGCCCCCTCCCGTGGAGGTCCCTCCCCAGCCAGCTCCGCCCACTCCCGTGGAGGTCCCTCCCCAGCAGGGCGTCTCAGCTCCCTACAACTCCCGGGCCCAGAGGACGGATGGGGAGCCCAGGGTCCCTCACGCCTCTCTGGCCTTTTTCTCAGAGCAAGGCTGAGGCCAGACTCACCAGGAGCGTGAGCCGTTCATACTTCTGCATCATCTTTCTGCAGCCCAAAGATCTGAGGTCTTTGACGGCCTGCAAAAGAACAGCCGGTGGTGCTGGGCTGCCTTGGGGTGAGGGCCGACTCCCCAGCCTGCTTCTGCCTTGGCCAGTGATCTGCTACTCCTTTTGAAGACCCCAGGCCTTCGCCCACGCTGTGCCCTCCACTGCAGCTCAGGTGTTAGCCCTGGTGTGTGAGTTCCCCCGCACTCATCGACACAGCTGCCCTCAGCCTATGCCATCACCACAGCTCATCTCTATTTCTGTGCCCACCTGCAAGCTCCAAACAGGCAGGCATGGTCTCTCCATCATGCTGGGTCCTGGGGCTCAACAACCATGTGTGCCTGGCCCATCGTGGGACAGACAGAAGTGGCACTCTACACCACAGGGACAGGTCATGGCTGCTGGGGGCTTCCCTAGCCCTCCCACACCCATAGCCCTCCTGGGCTCCCCAACACCAAAAGCCACAGAAATGTACTGATCCCAAGCTCCTGCAAGCCCTTGGTCGCCCTTTGTCACAACAGCTTGAGTTCTATAGAGTTGTGTCAAGGGCCAGGCTGCCCCATGGTTCTCCTGTCCTGGCTTTTCCTGGCACATGGGGATCCTTGCTTCAACATTTGTCTCAAGGTTTGTCCCCTCCCCAGAGTTTCTCTGCCCCATTAGGTCTCTGCCCTCTCCTTTGCCCTGGGAGGATGTGTCCCTCACTTAGTTCCATTTTCCTGAGCCCCCAGCTTTCAGTGTCAGGCACAGAACCAGTCTGGACTGGTCACCCACTCTGGTCCCCAGAAGGAGTTGGACAAGTACAGGGCTCTCAGAGTGAGCTGTGGCCAGCTCCTCCCTAAAGCCACAAGGGAGGCTCTCTGGTAGTAGGGATGAGAGCTGGCTCTGAGGGGTCAAGCAGAAGCTCCTGAGTGGGGGCATGGCCAGGACTGACGGGTGAGCTCAGTGGGTTTTGGAGAACAAAAAGAAAACTGGACCTGGAGCCACAGATTAAAGCCAGACTGGGCAGGAAAGTCCGTGAGACTTTTATCTCCAATAAACTGCTCAGAAAACGGGAAGTGGCATTGTGGCTTAAGTGGTAGAGGGTTAACCTTGTGCTAAAGAGCCGAGGGACAGCACCCAGGCCCAGAGTTCAAGACCCACAGCTGACAAAAAAAAAAAAAAGGAAGAAAGCTGGGTGCATTTGGACCCCAAGGGAGACTTTGGGGGATAAGACAAATTTCCTGAAGAAGCTGGAGGGGTAGAAGAAGCAAGACTGTGAACCACCAGAAAGGCAGAAGTGGTGGTGTGGTTCAAGTGGTAAAGTGCCAGCCTTAAACGAAAAAACTAAAAGGGTTAGGGTTGGGAAGTTGGCTCAGTGGCAGAGTGCTTGGCTTGCATGCATGAGGCCCTAGGTTCGATTCCTCAGCACCACATAAGCAGAAAAAAAAGCCGGAAGTGGCACTGATTTAAGTGGTAGAGCACTAGCCTTGAGCTGAAGAGCTGAGGGACAGCACCCAGGCTGAGTTCAGCCCCAAGACAGACCAAAAAAAAAAAAAGAAAAAAAAAACTAAGACAGTATGCCCAAGGGTCAAGCCCCAGTACAGGCAGGCAGACACATGCACGCGCGCACACACACATACACACACGTGCACGCACGCACGCACGAAAGGCAAGTATACAGAAGGAGGAAAAGAAACTGGAACCTGTGGAGCTTGGGCTTGAGGAGTGCCCCAGGGAAGCTAAAGCTAGATGCACAGCCAGCACCTACCCTGTTGAGAGCCATCTGGTAGATGTCCTCTGGTGAGTGGCCCTTCTCCGCCATGCTCAGGGTGTAGCCCAGCTTCTCAGGCATCTTCTCCACCACGTAGTTGCGCAGCTTTATGTCGTTCACTTCCGTCCATGTGTTCTCATCGTACTGGGTGAACTTGGTCAGGTTGAGGCCCAAGCTCTTGCAGAGCTCATGGAGGATCCTATGGGGCAGAGGGACAGGGTGAAGTCGGCTGGGGCAGAAGAGGGCAGGGCCTGTCCCTAGAGGTGCTTGGACCCGGGGAGTAGGGATGGGTCAGAGATTGAGGCTATGGGACAGGTTTGGGGGCAGAAAGAGGAACAGGATTGGCTTCACTGGAATGAGAAGATTTGGGATGGCTAGCTGGAGGTAGGGGATGGGCAGGGTTGGGGTTCTGAGGACATTGGGGACAGGGCATCATGGAAGGGCGGTGTTAGGGACCACAGAGAGATTGTACAGGGGTCAGGTGTTGGCACAGGGTAGGGGGACAGTTCAGTGGTAGAACACTTGTGCAAGGTCCTGGAGTGTCTATCCCCCGCACCTAGAACAGACTCAAGAATCCAGCTCAAATCTGGGTAAGGAAGGGGTACGGGGATAACAGGTCAGGCCTCACCTGTGGGAGCTGGGCATGCGCATGGCTCCCAGTTCCCCAATCCAGCCTGTCTTCCGGTCCCGGAAGGTGAAGATGCGGCCCCCAATTCTGTTATCTGCCTCCAGGATGGTGACCTGAGGAATTGGGGCGGGGGGAAGCAGACCTTCAGCTCCTCCCTCCTCCACCACCCCCATGCCTGTCCCCGCTTGCCTCTTTCCCTACAGTAGCACAGACCTTGACTAGGAGGACCTTCTCTAAGGGTGGTGGGAGA